TGGCTGGGAACGTGTTTCATACCCCACGAGGATCTGGTACTCATCTCGTCTCGATTTCTATTCAACTCAGAATGTCACGGTATCAACTCTTGCGCCTCAACTCGCTGTAGCCTCCGAGATGGGAAGATACACCGCGGTCCACTGAAGTTCTGTAGGTTATTCGTTCAGATCGCGCATCGTAGATGGGATGACTCTAGTAGTATTACCGGCTTCTACAGGTTAAAAGTTTCCAGAAAGAATGTGAGCCCGGAAGTCTACCAAATGTCATCGATTTTCCAAGACTTCGTAGACTTGGTAGCACTGCATTCAGGCCCTACCTAAACAGAGCCCGAGACTAGGTGACCTGAACCGATCTACACAGATGACCATGGCTAGTTGACCTAGACTTAACCTTTTGACCTCTGTGCAGATCTGGCTAGCTCTGAGTAGGTCTCGATAGCTCTGTTTAGGTCAATGTAGCTGAATGTAGCTCTGTGTAGTCCCCTACATAGAGGGACCAAAAATGTGTAACACCAAATTCGACGTTCTCAAATAGGGCATCAAGCCGTCCCGTATTTTTACGGAAATACGTCCGGTAGAAACGGTTACCTCCCCGTACCGTCGGCGAGGTTGGATCTACTTCCAACGGTACGGGTTAAGCCTCAACTGTGTCTAGGGGCGCTCTGGATGCAGTGTAGACTTACGGCTCCTCTCGGTGGACCAGGGGTAATATATTTATGATTCACACTCCGCCCGGATCAACTATTCGGTCTACATTCGGAGTTCCCGTGATGCCGCATCACAACCACCCTCGGTCCCTCATTGTCCCTGATTTAATCCTGAGATGAATCACGCCGTCGGAAACACTTATCCCCCGCTGTCGAGGAGTTGGGCCTTGGGGCAAGTGTAGCGCGCCCTAACTCCGGGTATCGGCCGTGGCGTCCCAATTAGGTTATGCCGTCCCGCCACCAGAGGTTAGAGTTGGGGTGAGGATCAATAGAAAGCGAGAACGAGCCTTTAGAGTGCGTTCCGAGCAGGAGAATTTCACCTTCGCGCACATGAAAGAAATAGTAAGTGCATGCCGAGGTTGCCGCATATTGATCCGCGGCCGGCATTGGAGCGTCGGTATATTTGTCGAAAGTCTGCAAAATCTATTCCGGCGTCTACCAAGTCTACCAAGTCTGCGAAATTGACCTTATACACCGTAGAGTTCTGGACCCACGTTCGTTCTCAAAGATTCACCAATCCTAGGTGGATTCGGATTTCGAACCACCGATTATCCTGAGTTTCACGAGGGATTGCCGAATCCTACATTGGAGCGAGTTTCATGACTCCACGAGGATATGGGTATGTCTGTCCCTCACCTGAATGTGTTGTAGTAGTTTTCTTCTTTTCGCCCTTGGAACTCCTTAAAAGGCAATGATCTTTTGGGCCCGCATCACCGGCAGGCCGTATATTTCAATGTCCGTCGAGGTATTTATTAGATCGCGTCACAGGCCACCGTCACTCAGAAGCGAGCGCGCCAAACACACTGAGTCTAAGGTAGGCCAAAGAGCGTCATCGAGCTGGTGGCAAATTCAGAGATAATACAAAAAAGATATTACATTCAAAAAGTACGGTAGTAAGAGCTGCCTGCAGGGACATAACTAGTCTCGTGGTAGTAGGATGTAGGTCGCGGAGTACCAGTGTCAACGGGGAACATCTGGTTATAAAGGGAGAGAGCTTCCCTGAGAAGATTTAAACGAGGTGGATTCGACGGGTGGCACGACTCGGGGGGGAGCCGGGGGGGAGTAACGCAAGCCCTGAATGTCGAGAACGACGGTGCCGCTGGCCGTTGGCGGAGGGTGGTGGAATGGAAGGCAGATGAGGAGGTGCTCAACAGAGGCTCGGCGGATGGAATAAAGGCGCGAAGTTTGAATTGTGCCATCCCAATGGACTTATGGCGCGTGAATACTGATCGAGGCGCGCGAACAGCGCGTCGGGAGCGTCGGGAAGGCTCGAGAAGAGGTCGCAGTGGTCGCAGCGGGTCCGTTAGGTGCTAGACAGATGGTTTGAAGCAAGCCAGATCCCCCAAAGCTCGGCCACCCAGAAATACATTGTTCTGCCCAACTAAGTAAGCGTGACAGACGCGACGGCGGAGAGGAATATATAAAAACAGTATTTCGTCCGGGAGGAAAAGGTGTGCCGAGATCGCGTGCATGCACCTTCCAAATAAGGAGATGCTTAGTCAGGAACCCAAGGGCGAAAAGTCAAGAACTTGTTGTAGTTCCTCTTCGGTGGCATTGCTAGTGCGTGAGTTTTAGTTTCAGTTTCAGCGAACATGACCTGCGCCGCGTCAGATTCTGCGGGATGTACATCCCGGTCCTTACTGATTGTGTCTGGGACAGCATTCCAGCACGCATCTTGTCCAAAGTCCAAGCGGATCCGACAAACAGGGGTTCCATCACGGTCATCATCGGAGTTCAAACCGAGCTGAGCGGACGCTCGGCCCGAGATCCGGTTTTCTCTTCTTCGCTCTACTTGCTCTGCTCTATGATGCGTCCACAGTGCAGGAGCACACCACGCCGCACCCGTAGGATCACCGCGCAGCTCGGTAGCCTGGTGACGCGCGTGAAGTACAGACCGGCGCACCGCACCCACCCTGCGCAATTTGAAATCGCGCCACCGACACTTCCTCCGCACCCTCCATGCCACCGCACCCAGCCCCCCGCCGCCTAATCATGCCCTCTGAAGATCTGAATCTTCTTCTCCTCTCCTCCAACATCGCGCTTGTCCCCACCCGCGGCGTGGCGGTCATCATGGCCGCGCCCGGGCTTCGCCTTCGTCATGTAAACTACCACTCGTCCCTCCGCCTCGCGCTAGGTCTAGTCTATCGTCCGCCTCCCGCGTACTCAGTGGGCGGCTCGCGCGCGTCGCTGCCGCTGCCCCGGTCGCTTTCTGCCGCCGCCCAGGCGCTGCATGACGATCCCACGCCACGGCCCCGAATCAGCGCATCCTGCGGCCGCACGCCTTCCCGCCTCCCTGTTATTTTCCGCGGGCCAGATCCCCACGAGGCCCGCGCTGGAGCCCACTCCTCGTCCGCGTCTCGCATCGCACCCGCCCCGCACACGGAAGGTGGAGCCATGGGCGCCACCGCCGGGCGTCTGCGTCGATTGCGAAGGTGCCACTTTCCGATCGATACAGGGGCGCAGCCGCCACTCCGCTACCGCCGTTCTATGCACCGCGTCTGCTCGCGCGCAGCGCTTCCTATTTCCCACTCCGGACCGAATGCACGCCCGCCGATCTCGAATCTTCCGCGGGCCGCACGACACACGCTGTCGCTGCCCGCCGTCCGCATCCCACATCCCCACGCGACTCGACCTGCGGTGGACATTATTCCCGCGCGCGCAGCTGTTCCGTTGCCGATCCCTCGTGCGTGGCGGCGCGGCGGAGGGGATGGGGCGTCCGCGAAGCTGCGCGCGCTCGTCGGTGCCCCCAGCTGCAGCGCGTTCGTGCCTTCGCGGAAAACGCACGAACAAGTGGGAGGGGCCTGGGGTGCGCTGCGGTGGGCAGAGAGGGGTGCGTCTGAGGAGGGGGAGGGAGACTTAAAACGGATGGTGTCACCCGCCTCGCTGCGACGGGCTACTGCTGGTGTGGTGTGTCCATCTAGCTATCTCCCCACCACGCACCGCTGATGTACTCGACCTTGCCTTCACCGGCGGCATCCACGCCGCCGCGATCGCACACCCCAGCCTCCTCGTTATCCCGGACGACCTTGAGGTACGCTTCCCTTCTCTCCGAGTTTCAATTCAAACACACCCTTACGCTCAGAGATACCGCACAACGGCGACCGCGCCGCTCCTCATCAATAGCTGCGCCGACGACCCACCTTTCCCACCGCCGCCCAGGCACAGGCCGACCTACTCCTCAGCGGGGGCCGCTTCTCGCCGAGCTACAAGGGCACGTTCTTCGACGGGTGTGCGCACGGATTCGCGGGGCACGGCGACACGCCCGATCCCCCGATGCTCGCGGGGAAGGACGGCGCATTCCGCGAGACGGTGGAGTGGTTACAGAGGCATCTGCAACGGCTTTAAACTCTCTACTGAATGTTGTATGGACAGAGCACGCTACACGCGATGGATTCCCTGTCGGTTACAAGACGCCCCGTTGAAGTTTTGATTCATCCACGTAAATGATTTGAACGAAACCACCATTCATTTCGCCAGATTCGCTTCCCTCTCAGCCTACACGCAAACGAACGTCTCCCCGTCGAACACGCTCCGCATCGGGTATCTGCAGTGCGTTCGCACGGTGCCATTCGCGCTGGAGCCAATAATTGTGCCAGGCCCAACGCCGCCCTCGACCCAGTCCACCAGTATTATGCGAGGAAGCGTTCACAACATTCGAGTCCGGGCTGGTTCCCTGCCCGAACGCTGGCGCGCCAAGCCCCACGCCGCAGTGGCTCATCCCTGGAATGAGGAAAAGGCGGTAGAAGTCGTCGACCGACGGCAGCGCGAGCGTGTGCGAGATCAGATCGTACACGCGCTTGGAGTTCGTTGATGAGATGAGCTGGTGGGGTACATGATAATCAGCAATCGCTCAGTCTCATTTGAGAGGATCAACGTACTGGATCGCGCCGCCCGTGGTATGCGAGGAATTTCCCGCCGCGATTGCGGAACGCAGACAAATCACCGGCGAACGTGGCGATTCCGCCGGGATTGATCTTGTCGAAGAGCGCTAGGCAAGGCTCCGCGCACGGTTGGCTACAGGGAGAATTGTGAGAGTGGAAGGAGTCCTCTGCAGCTGGCGGCGGGGTGCTTCGCGCCGTCGACAAGTGAAGCGAGAAGCAGATTCTCGGCGTCGTCGGTCATCGGGAAGAAGAAAGGCGTGCAGGCCCGGGCACAGCCACGTAGCTGCCTTGGGCTCCTTTCAACTCAACTCCGAAGGGAATATCGGACAGTGCACGAGGCGGCGCGAGGACCTTTACGCATGTAATTTGTTTAAAAATGGGGGAAAAAAGCTCCCACAGGGTTCATAGTATATGGCGGGGGCCTGAGTCGAGCAGGCGCCTTCAGATCAACGTCCAAACACCACAATTTTGCCCTGACGCACACCCACCGTGTGCTACCCCGCCTTCTTCCCTCCACTCTGCCTCCGGCGATGTACAACCACTGTCTACTGATAAATTGAGGTGAAGGTTCAGAGAGCGACCCTCACGAGCAATATATAGCACCAGAATGGGAGCTGGGTAAAAACGCGGCTCGCATCGGTTTTGAATGCGGAACGCTGCTTCTCGTCGGGGCCCGCAGTATAAGGACAGACAAGTGCTAATATATCAGCCTCACTAAGACCGGGCATGTCATATCTCTGATTCATCCCGGCTCAACCCAGCACGAACAAAGGCGGGGTTGCACACGGTGTGCACCGGGGATAAGTGAGCTGGTATATCGCCCACTATATCTCGAGGCCCCGCCATGAAAAACACCCGCTTGGTTTCGTTTGCTGAGTCAAATATCCGGCGCACTATGACGCCGTCCAGCTTCACTCAACATGTTAGGGTATTCCGCTCAAATTGGATTTACGTGCGGACATTCTAAACTGTTGAACAGGGAATCTCGGCGCGCGCGCAGTAAAACGAGGGTTATGAATTGAGCTTTTCAGGTTGACCTGACTCGAACAGCCTTGATCAGCTCCAGTGAGATGGGTTAAATACATCAAGGAGTGCCGGAAGCTTGTTGCGCGCAAATAAATAGAGAGTTTGCAGGAGTCATCAGCGGCACCCAGTGGCGCTTTTGCAGTGCGCTGATATATGGCTCCACCCTCCACAAAACCCCACGGATGGCTGTTGGAGCCACTGGGGCCTATTTTTGGCTGGTGGAGCCACGCGCCAGCGCACTGCAAATCGGTCACTGGATGGCGATGATGGCTGCAGCGTAAACTGGCTGATGGCGGGACCATATCATTTGAGTTGAATTACCCCGGAACTCTAGTCGTGAATATTGAGTATGGACAAGTAAACACTGGGGATGGAACTCTGGTGTGCTCCAAGGCCAGTCTAACTTGAATACTATCGTAATAATTGCAGAAGGCCCTAATTTAACTCGGAATTTGGCGACAATGCCCCCTCAATGTGCGTCAGTGCGCGTCAGTGCGCGCCTGCCGTGTCATCCTCTAAAAAGCTGAGCCGAGCTAGGCGTAGCCGTGGCAACACTAGCCCAGGCCACTGCCCAGAAGCACCCGAATATCTCCATTGACACAAGTGCTCCCATGGGATGTCAAGCACGCCCCCATAGGAGCGTATTTTTGGTGCACATGTGCTCCTGCGCAGTCACCTTTCTTTAGGACCTTTTGATTGTAGTCTAACTATCAGCAACCCGTGCTACGCTACGGCAGATTCAGCTGTGTGGTATCCATTGGGCCTTGACGGTCAGCCAGATTAAATTTCACACAAGTGTACCATCGTACTTAACACACCGCTTGTCGTCAACCTTTGGTTCATCCTCACAGCCTCATAGGCGGTTAGATCTTATATTTGCTCGCAGTGACCCATTTCGTCGCCCCGGACGTATATTAAATTGAAAATGATCCAGTTCTCTCCGGACGCGAAAGATGCCGTTCCTCGCCAACCTCCGGTTGGCTCCTCGCGGCCTCATGTACACTGCCCAACTTGATGAACACTGAATATAGTCACGTATCCGCCTTCAAATTCAGATATTGTGGGTGACCCTGATTCAGAATGGCTCCGGCCTGGTCTGTGACGGAAACACGGGAGGCAGTGGCCGCAATCTTTCCTGGTGCTCATAGCCGAAACACTTGTTGAACTGAGCAATCTACTCGAAGTGGCCAATTTAACAGCTATAAATGGAAAGTCGACAGTCGAGTGGAGTAATTGTGCAGAATCCAACATCTCGGTGGAACTGTAAAGCACCGGACATCATTCGGAGACTCAGTATTGTCCGGTAGTAATTGTCATTTGTTAGCCACTCAGCTTTCTCGGTGCAAATTGTTCGATTCTTATTTAGATTCTTACTTAAATAACTTCTAGCTTTTCCGGCTGGGGTTAAGTGTTCCACCCAGTGCTTTTAGGTCATCGCTGTGCAGTTCCTCGGCTTCACACGGTAGTGTGAAACTGATGGGTTGTGCCTCACCATACTGGACGCGCTCGCCGTGTATATCCGCATTCGACACGTGCTATCCAAGTCGTGGTCGCTACTGGCTGTCCGAGGAGCCGGTGAATAGTCAACTTTATAGCACCACAATATAGATTTCTTGACATTGTTACTTACCTCCATGGTGTTTTTCTGCTCTCCACAGTATGCGGCAGTGTCAGTCCCTTGCGGAAGCATTGCCGTTATGGACGGCCAACGTACCCCGCCGTGAGAAGTAGGTGCTCATCTGAATATGTTAGGAGGCAACTTTGTCATATTCCGCAAACCATCGGGAATAGTGGTATGCGAATGACGACAAGGAATGGTCATGGCCAACCTGTAGATTCATCTATATAAGGTGTGGTAGGGTCTTTCGAGAGACAAACACTTCCTTGATCTCGTCTTTGGTACGCATTGGACTCACCATACCTCGCCTTATTCTAGGGTGCCTATACTGATTGAGATTGGACAGATAAACAACCCAACAATGATATACTCCAATCTCATCAACATTGTACTCTCCGCCATTCTCTTCTCTCGTGCAGCAGCACAAGTCGGTCAAGTCGTCGTCTACAACAGCATCAACCCAGGATGCACGGGAGAATCGTTGCTCGAAATCGACACCGCACCTGGGGCATTCTCTGGCTGCGAAGGTGTTATCAGTTGAGTTTTCCCTTCTTTTGTCGTTTTAGAAATGTGTCATTAACTGCCTCAGACGCCGCCAGCTACACGTACAGCCTGCCAGACGGGTGCGCTGTGAACATCTATACTGACTTGAATTGCGCTGACCTCATTGGTGAGACGAGCTCTATTGATATCCCACTTGATAGTATGCTCATCTATCTATATGACTGGCAGGCGGAAACCAAGGGCCTGGAAATGGATGTGGCGGAAAAGTCAACTTCCAGTCGATCTCAGTTCAGTGTTAGATAGAGAGATATTGAAACGATGTAACCGTGAACCCAAATACAAATGATGTATACATGTTGTCAAGTAAACTCCGGTGGTGTTTTTCCGCCGACACCCACCTTCTGTCAGACTCTGCATGTACTTAGTAATTGGGAGAGATCATCTGGAGGCGCAACTGATCCGGACGCATCGCAAGGAGGTCCTACGACTCTAGGACAGCTAATACCAAATAAATTAAAGCTCTGTCAGGCCAGTGAACTGCCGAGCATGAGTGGAATTTCCGAGAAGCCGGCTGGCAACACGTGGGTCAGTCAGGGATACTTGAAGGGGGATAAGTGAAAAGAAAACGTCGGAGCAGCGATGAAAAAACAAGCTTACGACTCATGATGGATATTCGACCACACCCGCTTGAACCTCGCAACATTGACTGCGGCGGCCGTCGAGTCGTGGCTGACCAACTCTTCCAGCAGCTTGCGTGCCCATCCCACTTGCTCTGGCCTCGGTGAGTCAACCAGTTCCACCACAGAATCCAACAGATTTCCATTCACGACAGCTCGTGCTCCCTGCGGCGATTTCGTGATCCAATACAATGCCTCCGCAGCATTCTCAGTAACTCTGGAATCTCGGCCACTCCAAACAGATCAGAAGACCAGTGTCCTGAACAGGAAATGGGACTCACTTCAGGAGTGAAAAAGGCGGGCGCAGGGTTTTACGGCCAGTAACATCGTCACTGTCGACTGGTCCGCCGCCCAGTGTGTCCCCAATACCCTAATCAACTCCGTCGCCGCCATTGATCACATCACTGTCGAACCGTTGACTATTTGGTGCACCGGACCCCAATCGAACTGCCTCGTCGAAGTCTGGATCACTTATCCACCAATATCCTGGATTTCCTTCCGCCTGGTAAAATATTAAACGGCGCTGGATATCGGAGAGGCGAATGGAATGTTTGAGGATACATGCAAAATTATCCGGCAATGTGCATGCGACGACGTTAACCCCATCCTCTCTCCTCTCCTTCAACTGTGGTTTCGTGCTTCTTCACCATGTGTTTTCTCATTTGGTGAAAGTTTCTCGCCCTCTATCCTCGACCTGTGGCTACATTGGGATATCCCAAAGATATCCACATTGTTGAACCGAACTAAATTGTGTCCTCGACCTCTAGTGACTGATATGGTCAAGTCTGAATATGAGAATAAATTCAACACGGAATTTTTCAACTTCGAGGTCATCAGACAATGGCAATGACAAACAATTGAGGTACGAGCTTCCTATGTTTGTAGTGTCTCCGAGAGACTAGGCAGTGACCAAGTCAAAATTAATGCATATAAGATCATACGCAACCAGTTCTGTACAGAAATAGACCATTCTTCAATATTTACTCATGCAGAAAGCCACAAGTTGAAGCCAATTTTCATCCAAAGCACGTGCCAGTAGGAGTACCCAGTATAATAGAAGGTCCTTAGAGGCATGTTAGAAGTACCTGAGCCCAATTCAACGATGCCTTCCAGAATTCCTGTTGCAAGCCACCATCCCCGCCGCGTTTGATGGCATCAGACAAAATGGCTTGTGATGGCTTATGTAATGTTCAATTTGGGTTCAATCCCGCCCAGCCTGACGTTGATTCACAAAGAGCTCGCTTAACTGGCATGGTGCTGACCTTTTATCGTTTTAATTTCAATACTTTTCAGTGCAAGCCGTGGTCACGCCCTGTTTGATGGCATCAGACAAAATGGCTTGCGCACGCCATTTTGCCTATAGCGAACAGGGCTCGAAAAGCAAATTAATTGAGGATTAAAATGAGTTCATTGAGATAATATGCCACTGTAAGTGTCGAAATAAAGATTTGCAAAGGTTTAGTTGAAAAAAAGTAAGCTCACGCCAACCTTGTGATGGCATGTGACATGTTCAACTCCCTCCAACCTAAGGCTAATTCAAGATGAATCCATGCTACAATGATAGGAGAGGATGAATAAGATATGAATGGTGTGGAGCTGACCTTCTTACTCAGTTACTGTGCAAATTCGCATACTTCTCGACACAAGCCGTCCCCACCCCCAATTTGATGGCATCAGAC